CTTTCCCTTCCTGCTCTGCCCCTTCCCTGCAGGGAAGGTGCTCTTTTCTTCTCTCCCTACCTGGAATGAGCTAAGGATGCAACCTCGGCAGTCTAGCATTGGACAATGGATCTTTGCTTTTGTCTTTTCTGCTGCTTGTGAGCTAAAAAGGCCTCAGACTCATCCAGCCTTTGAATCAGTAGCAACAGCAAGAAATCCGAACAGGTTTTCTGGAACAAGAATCCCCTTTGGTCTCTGCGCAAACCTATGGAGACCTTGGTGGAGGACCACACACAGGATTCAGCGAGGGTGGCACAAGATGTGGAAGTACGTACCATAGATTTGGCTTTAAAGGTCTCAGAGATTGCAGGAACCCCAGTGAGTGCAGAAGGTCTGGAGTTTATAGCAGCAGAGGAGCTTGCAGGTTGAATTATGGTGGTGGTGATCCTGGGCCCATTCATTCTGCAAGCAGTGAAAACAGCCAAAGCATCAGCATAGATGAAAGCTCCCAGGAATGGTACAGCTCTGGGGCTAAATCATCTGGGACTACGAAGTACATAGATAAAGAAATCTCAGGAGCAAATCTGCCTACTTGCTGATAAGGTAGGTGAAGGAATTTTGCTTTATTCTGCAGTGATTTCCTTGCAGAGCCAAACTGGGAAGTCCCCAGCCACATCAGAAAGATATGGTTTGGAATATCCCACTTAAAAAAAAAAAAAAATCAACTTGTTTAATTTCAGCTTTTTATCCTAGGCATTAAAAAAAAAGTTTACTAAGTCAGAGTTTCCTGGAGGACAGAAGTTGCATTTTTGTGGTCTGACAAAGCAGATGTGGATTTATTGCATTTTTTTACCATTACTCAGGGAATCATTATCAGGGATCATTTGCCCCCCCCCCCCTTTTTTTTTTTCTTCAGATATCCAGTTTTCAAGCTACGTATCCAGCACCCAGAAAGCACAGTGGTTTCATTTCCCCTTTCTGACCCCTGGACCAAATGAGATTGCCTAGCCGTCTTCCTGATACGTTGCTTTCTGTTCTTCAATGAACACACCATTTACTGGAATCATTACTGTATTATCATTACTACTAGCACACAGGGTAGGCGGCCAAGTGCGGTGTCTTGTGGCTGCACAGATGGGAAATCCCAGGCTGTATTTTCAGCCCTGCATCTGCAGCCCGAGGAAGCGGATAGACACTTTGCACGGCAGGTGGGAACAAACGATACCCAAAGAGCCTGCCACAAAGCAGATTGTGGATAAATACAGGTAAGAAATTAGCCAGTAATTAGTTCCTCTTGTGAACACTCATTCCTTGCAGCCAGACGGCTCCACAATCCACATTATATTCAAAAGCAAGCTGTTTCTTGTGATGTGGTCAACATTACTAACGGGAGGGAGAAGGAAGCTTTTAGTCAGAGATCTCACTTGAAAAGGGATGGATCAGGGTAGGAGCAAGATATTCTGGGCTTGTGGTCCAGGCTCAGCTTGTGGGTGGAGGATTCTCCACCTCCTCGGGTACAAGCAATATAGGATCGTGCTGGCTCTTTCTCACCTCTGTTTAATAAAACTTCTTTCCTTTTAAGGTGATTTTAATGGAAAACCATCAGTCGTCTTTGGATGCTTCAACTCAGCTGCACCAGAACAAAGTGAATTTTGGACCTTTCTGTGTGGTGGTCAAACCAAACATCCGGGTAAATTCTGACCTGGCTGCCCCCAAGAGCTGTTTTCTGCCTTTGGTCAGGATTTCAGAGTTTCCCTTCTACATCAATAAAACCTTTTCAGGAGGTCTACTCTTCTCAAAACACCGGCAGATTTAACTTTCCTTCTCCGCTTTTTCTAGGCTTGTGTCATTGAGGTGGCTTGAGGAAACTCCTAACTGCAGACAACACGATCTGCAAGTCTGCTTAGAATAAATGAAGGGAGCCCAAACCCAAACCAGCCATGCAAACCAACTGGCTAGTTGAGTGTGAACTGCTCGGTGTCTGCTTGCAGCTGCTCCTGCATCAGCTCCCAAGGAGCTGGACGGTGCACGCCATGCCATGACAGAGCCATGGGGCAGGGCAGATTTGTTGAGGCAGGAGCTGGAATTGCCGAGATGTGTGTTTGAAGAGGTAGCAATTCCTCCCTTTCTGTCCACAGGGAAATGCAGGTTATGTTTTTTTTCCTGGAAACACCCTCATCTTTAGCACAGCCCAGTTTAGTGCAGGCAGAGTTGGGTTTCGGAGCTGGACCGTCTACTTATCCGACAAATCTACTAATCGGGCTTATGTGCCAGTTGCATACGGGAACAAAAAAGCCACTGATATTCTTCAGGGTTCAGGTGTTACCTACATGGGGAATCCTCTGTCTATACCCAATGCTCGTTGGCCATGGTCCAGTTCAGTAGGTGGATTTATCCTTTTTCAGGATTAAAGGAGGCTTGGTATATTCCAACGATGAATCACTCCAGGTCAGATTTTAGCTGCAGGATGAAGACTCTCATTATACAATTAGTTCTGTGTTTCCCCAAAAGTGATGCAAATGAGGGGGAATCGCTCTGGACTGCAACTTTTTTTCAACCTTTAGGCACAAGCTTTGCAACACCACCATCACTGTGAAAATGGACAACCAATGGCAGATGGGCACCGTCAGAAACCCCAACACTGAACAGAGCTCAGAGCAGACATCAAGGCTTTGGGCCATAAACGAAGGATGCATCAGCTACTGAATACCATCGCACAAGTGCAACCCCCAGCTCTGGAGGAGCCCAGATGTTGACCTAGGACAGTGTGTTAAACAGGATCTCTGCTAGCTTGCTTGAAATGGGCTATTTTGTACAACAGAAATTAAATTAACGATGTTATTATGTGAAGAAAGCAAGCAGGTGGAAGGGTAAAGCATAAAAACCTTTTCTGTTTTAAGGTGCTCTTTCAGTTCTGGGGTCAAGGAAAGACGATTCAGTGTAACTGAGAAACAGGGTCTGAACACTCAGCGTCCGAGACCTCTGGCTTTGGAGCTGAGACCATGAGCTTGCCCAGCTGCACTCTGCTTGTGACAGCGATGAAGGGTTTGGGTGGGAAGGAGGTGCTAAACCTCTGCAGAGCAACTGGCAATTATGCCAAACCCAGTAGCAATCTCATAAGCAACTGGTTCTCTTTATCATATACTCTTGGAGTAACTTGAAAGAAGTCACTCAAAGGGAGTATGACGCTTTGGGGACAGTGCGCCTTGGGTGTTTGTCCGTCCTTAATTGAAATGAGGACAATGAAGCCACAGCTGTCATGCTCAGTAATTAAAGGGAAAGTAAAGCCAGCCGTCCGTCCTTTGACAGGTAGCCTGTCTGCAGACGGATATTTGCGATGCTGAGCAGCGTGGTGACAGCATTTGCAAAAATGCCTGGGAGATAAAACACGAAATGCTCTCTACGTTAAGCCAAGGAGGAGCTGGAAGGCCAAGTGTGCAATTATTAGGATGTCTTGAACACCAAGCTGGCTTTTGGTCATTGAGATTTCCACATGCATTTCCACATGCATCCATTTCTGGATGGAGAACAAGAGAGGCAGGTGCTTAACACTCCCTGGTATCACACGCAGAGCCCAGCAGGTGGATTACCCCATAGGATATTCAAGGAGAAAAGCAACCACATAATAACAAGAACAAAGAGAATAACAAGGCAACACACCGATGCGTGGATGTTGCTTCAAGTAATTACACCGGAGTTCCCCAAATTAATCTCCTCAGTGTGTGCATCCCCACTGAGTGGAGGAGGAAGACGGGTGCCTGATTCACTCGGGATCACCTGGGTGCAAAGTTAAGAGTAGCTGTTAAATGAAATAATGAATTTCTAGGATCCCACTCAGCGCAGTTTCTTCTGGAAGCGGCAGATTTGCCTAATAACGTATTTCCTTTTATCCTCCAACAGAGAGTGGCCAGGGAGTCCTGTTGGCACAGCTATGAAAAATGTATGATTCACAGGAAGATTTTCTCTTTTCCATTTCTCTGTGCCGTTTCTGGGTTTCTTTTCCAGTTACTGAGCGCTGGGTTTTCTCGCAGCGCAGGTTCCCAAGTCTGGTGCAACGGACGGTGATAGTGGCCCAGCTGGATTTCAAACTCAGTATGGGCACATCTCTGGCCACGGAAGAAAAAGTTTCCTAAAACAGGAGATTTAGATCGAAAAGTGAAGGAATCCACCTCAGAAACACAGTGAAATCAAAGCGTGACTTTGCATGTCTGAAGGCATAGTGATCTTGCACGCTGGAGGACATAGCTGCGGCAGAGAAGCGTTTAGCTTTGGGAGGAAGGATTACTAGTCCAGAGGTATAATCATTACCGTTGCTTGCCTTTATCTCCCTGAGCGTGTGGTTTGCTAGCAATTCAGAGAGTTAATCTCTGGAAATGGAGGTTACAACCCTGTAGGCTTGCTGAGCTGGGGAAATAAAGACTGTGGTGCCCAATGTTTCAGCTGGCTGCTCTCCAGGGCAGATAGCACCGGGGCTTTAGGGAGCAGGTGTTTCTGAGTATTAGGGCTGTGATGAATAGAAGTTGGTTGCAAATTCCTCTAGGACAAATACTGCTCTTTATCTCTAGTTAACGCAGTGGAGACAACCATAATACAGAGCTTGTGCACCAAGCCACCACCTCTGGAGTGACACATCGCAAGTTTTTTGCATGTTGGTGGCAAAATGAATCACAAAAGTGACTCCAACCATTCATTAAGATAATAGGTATGTCCTCTAGAAGCTATACCTTCTGTAATCTCCTTAATCTGAGTGTCCATCTGGCAAGCTTAATGAATAGGTGCTCATAAACACAGCATTGTTATTTCTCCTGGTTTGTATTTGTCCTTTTATTCTGCTGAGGCTGGTAGCCGCGTACAGATATCACCTCTGCTCTTGGATCATGCCCCCGTGGCCCTGCAAAGCGTGACTCCTTGTCTCCAGGTTCTCCTAGGCTGGTGACTTTAGAAAACAATCTTCTGTTTGATGACACCAAGCTCTCTCATTAACTATTCATGGAGGCCATGCCTCTAGTTTCAACTTGGTGACTAGTTTGTAGGTAGCAGAATTCAGGTGACTCCCACGCTAGAAGTGTTTTTATTCTTTTATGTTATCTTGCCCAAGTCATTTTTACAAGGCCAGCAATAGGGTTTGCTCTCTACTGAACACATGTCCTTGTCCCTCTCTGTAGAGTGATGCTTTTTAATTCAAGACGGCACACAGAGATTGTATTGCTGATAAAAGCTCGGTGTTCTCTGCTGCCAATAAACTGCACACAATGTTTGTGCATTGTCTCTACTTCACCTTTTTTTTTAAAGAAACCTGTTTATAAGTTTGCAAAATTAACTCTATTACCTTAACCACATGCACTGAACAGCTACTTTCTATGGTCATTATTATATATACTCGTGTGCACGCACAGACATAGATTTACAGACCTATCGATGGGAACTAGTTGAAATTCAGTGGCTGAATTTCCCTCCTCCCACACTCTCCTTTTTCACTCAGCTGCTGGAGGGCATCTCTGGAGTCCCTGGTTGGCTTTGTGCATGAAGGAACATGTTTTCTGGCTAAAAAAAGTCTGTATCAGGGAAGAGACGAGACAACTGTCCCGTGAAACAGCGCAGCAGTATTTCCAACCTCAAAATCTGATGTGCTTCTCATGGCTGCTTTTTACAAGGATTGCCCACCTTTCCCCAGAAAAACACTTTCAGTGCGAACCTCGTGCCCTTCCCTTGGCATGCGGTTGCTCTGCCTCTGCAGTGGCAATTCCCAATGCTTAGTCCTGGCTGTTGTGCTTTCGTCATGACACTGCCATACCAATTCCACCCCATTACTCAGAGCCCTAATAGTCCACCGGGCCCCGAGCGTTAGCAGAAAGTTGGTTAGATGACGCAAAAGTGCCTTACAAATTCCTATGCAAAAGAGGAACGTTACAAAGGAAGGGGGTGGACACCCAGGGTGTTTGGTACGAAACCTATTTGTCTCTTGCAAAATAAGATGGTAAATATGAAGGAGAGTTTCTTGGCTTAGGTCACCTGGTAACACCATCAAAAGGGAGATTTTAAAAATCCAAACAGGCTGCCTTGTGCTGCTGCTGGCACCCTGCCTACTGCAGTCAAACATCCAGAAGTCGCAGAAGCTCTGTCTGAAAGATGCATGCAGCTCTGCATCCAACGCCCAGGTTTTCCACCACATGAATAAAGAAAGAACTGCCCAGAACATGACAAAGTTGCCCTGAACGAAGCACCTGGATTTGCTGGCAGGGCACCAAGCGTGGCCAGTGCATCACAGTGGACACAGGCAGGGCAGTCATCCAGCTCTGGCTAGTAGGTAGCTCTCCATGTTCCTTGCATGAGACATCGCCTTTGGGAGCTATACTCTCTTCTGCTTAGCTACTGCCATGATAACCCAATGTCTTCTCACCAATACTGGTGATGTGACTGACATTGGTCACCTACAGTTTATTGTTGTCCGGCAGAAAGACTGCAGAAAGAGGGTAAAGGTTTTGGCAAGGTCTTATTTGGATGCACTGCAAATTCAGATGATGCATATGGACAGTGACCACCAATGCTCTGGGCACAGCCTGGAAGGAACCTCAGGAATTATCTTGTCCATCTTTTTGCCCCAAAGCAGCACAAAAGCTATGTAATGGCCAGGGACAAGCCAGGCTGAGGGCGAACAGTTGCTGTGGAGCAAGGTTATGGGGAGCAAAGCAAGGTGCCCAGTGGCGATGGAAGGAGCCCAGACCATCATCTCTACCCTGCTCCCCACAAATCCACCATCTGCTTTGATGTGGGAGCAGAATCAAGTTGCAGTTAAGAGACCGGGAACAGCCACCTTTGGAGGGCTGGACCCATGAAACTAAAGGCAGATGTCCCAGGGGCCTCATTAGCCATTTTAATGGTGACTTCGCGGTCCCTTTCACAAGGAGCCACAAAAACTGCCCAGCCTGCAGGGAGGGAGGGAAAGCACCAGCATGGCCAAGCCCTGCCAACCCTGTTTTCTCAGGAGAGGGTCTTAAAAAGCGGTTTTCTCTCTGGGAGAAAGGCGGCTTGGATGGCTGGGTCGTTACAGCTGGAATCATCACAGGAGACTGGAAAAACCCCTAGGCTCTCCCTATCTGCATGGATGGCTTAACAGGTCCCAATTTAGTAAGGTGCTTAAGCAGAATTAATTTATCGTAATGCACCTGGGTACATGTAAATCTCAAAGGCATAAGTCTCATGGAAGCCACCACAGTTCAAGGCATATTTAGGGCCAAGGACCTCAGGGGTTTCCCCAGTAAATCTGGGTATAAGATACTGCTTTAAAGCTTTGCTGAATCCCATCAGCGTGAAAACAGGAGTTTCATCTCTTCCTTATAAAGAGGAAGGTTAGTCCCTTTCTACTGCTCTTCAAACACTATCTGACGTGCAATCAACCAGGACAAAACATGGAGACATGAAGAAGGTCTCTACGAAAAAGGGATTTGCATCTGACTTGAGCCAGTCCTGTGCATGTGTGCGGCTGATAAAATAAAAGTGATTGCAATCCTTCTCTTCAGAAGACCAGCTCACATCAGAGCGCTTCCTCCTTTGAAGCTGATGTAACCAGTGCTCAGGGCTTCCACCATGTGACTGCGAACCGGCTTTGTGAAAGCTCAGCAGATGGAAACCACAAGTGCTGCCCTGAACTGTCTCTCTCTGATGTGCAAGGCTGGGCACCTGGAAGAAGCCACTTCTTAGGGCTGTGAGGAGGAGCCGAAGGTTGAAGCGCAGGTTTGTTGCTTTCGATCCGCGGGGAAACAGCCTGGCAGCATGTCGTATGCAAGAAGGGATCTCAGGGCTCGCAGCTGGTGGAGGAACGTGGATGGTTGTCCCACAAGTGGCATTTTCCCTGCTTTCCAACAAAACCAGGGGCTTGGAGGGTCTACAGCCCTCAGATTGTGCCTGTATCACCCACTTGGCACAAGGCACTCTACAGTGGGCAGCCAAGAAGAGATATGGAGGAAAGCAGGGACCTGATCCGAACCAGATCCAGGTTTCTCACAGCTGGAAAAACCGGCAAATCGCTGCCCTCAAGGATGAAGGGCCGTGTCTTTCTTGCCATGAAAAGGAGCTGGCGTCTCTCTCTGTGCTTCTGCTGGATGGGAGAGCTCGGAGCAGCGGCTGCGTCCCTGTATCTCTGATCACCATCTCTGATGCCACGTCTCTGCCCCACCGCAGCTGCATCAAGCCAGCCCGCCTGGCTTAGTCACGCAGAAAGCAGGACCACAGCCAGTTGTGCCACTGATGGCCTGGCTTCTCCCTGTTTTTCAGCTTGTCCATGGTTATGCCCACCTAGAAGAGTTCATGGAAGTCATGTTGTATGGACCTACCCAAAGGCTAAGCGATGCTTAAGCCCATCCATGAATGCCCTATTCCTAGGCAGTGCTCCAGGTTTGGCTTCAGACCAATCTGTCCTCCGCACTGCTTGTACCAACACTTCAGCACAAAATAAAATAAATTTCCAAAATAATTCTCCCTTTCACTTACTAGCAAGAGGTCCTGGTGCTTGGATTATCTTGGGCAGAACGACATGAAGGACGCAGTGCCCAAAAGCTCCTCTGTTTTCTCCAGCTACCTCAATCTCACAAATGAAAGCACATCTCATTGCAAGACGTGCATCCTAATATAGTCAGACCAATGCAGCTACAACGGAACTACTGCTTGATTATAATTGCATATAGTATTATATAGTTCATTTCAACCCACTGCGAGACCTGTAAAAGAAAAGGACGATCTTTACCTAGAGAGACTCCGCAAATATTCTAAATCATCATAATTCCTTTGCATTATTTTTAATTCAAGACAACCTATTTCAAGTTTACAATAGCATTAACTAGGAAGCCTTCCAGAACCAGTTAAGTTTGCCCCAGCAAAGATGCAAAGCCTTCTTAGGGCAAGCCACGCAATCGCTTGTGATTCTGTGATTAGACCCCTTTGTTAAGGCAAAAAAGGAACTTTATTTGTTTCCAAGCAAATTCAAAAATCTTTTTAAGAATTTTAATTAAGACGGTATGGTACCTTCTCATTAACAGATATTACTAGAATAATTTAGAGTCAAATAGGTGTGTCACAGGAATACGAGGAAAAAAGTTCACTCCGGCTAACATTTCTCAACCTGTTTGTAACACTTCGCTTCACTTCTTTATTGCATCTCCAGCTATCGTTTGCATGAATTCGCCGTGTGCGCCAGTCACATCACACCCAGATACTAAACACAATTATCGCCTTCCCTAGGCACATAATTCGACAATAAATCGCTGTCTACAGTGAAGCTTTTCCCAGAAATGCCTTACCTTCAACTCCATATATTCTAAGGGGCACACAAAAGCCAGCTGGACCGGTGCCTCAACTTCATGTGCATGAACCCCCAATTTGCCAGAGCATCCCCCCCCCGACCAAACTCGTCCTCGACGCCATCTCGCACAGTTCAGTCCATCGATAAGGAAACTGCCAACCCCATCCTGCTCCGCTTATCAGCCCGCGAGCCGGCAAACACGGCTGCAACCAAATCACCGGCGAGAGCCGCAGCCATACCCATGAGAGGAAAAAAGGAATGCTTACAAGAACGCTCCCGACAACGTCAGTGCTGTGCTTTGGCAGATATGCCTTCCTTCTCCCCTGTTGCCACCGGTCATTGCTCAAGAGCCAGCCCTGAGCTGGCGCGAGACCCTGGAAGAGGCGGCATTGCCACGACATTTTTGCAGGAGGTCCTGAAACATAATTAAACGCTGTGGTGAAACCGAACTGTAAACAAGCCATGAATAAAAACCCCTTGAATTATTTTGCTAAACTATAATTACACAATAAGGAAGCAGATTAATTAAGTAAAATATAAGTCCTGAAACTGAAGCTTGCAAGCAAAGCAGTTTATTTTAATTTCCACATTATTTCGTATGAGATAGAAGTGTTTGCTGTGGGTTTAAAATGTTGGAAGCCATTCCTTGCTGCCAGGCAGACCAAACCCAGTGGATAAATTAAATTTTTGCATCTCAGGCACCTCCTGAAATGTATATAAGGAGAAGGGCTCTGCCTCAGAGAAGCTAAAGGAGATCTCCTTCTTTCACTCCCTGCTCCTCTCTAGCTCTTCTTCTTTGCCGTTACTGCTTCACCGCCCGTCTCCCCCCGCCACCATGAGTCGACAGTGCTACACCTCCAGCTCTCTCCTGGGAAGACGGGGCTTTTCCTCCGCGTCCGTCGTCTGCTGCCTCCGTCGCCGCCATAGCAGCGCT